CTTCTGTGTCTGTGTTAATTGGTTTCCCTTTTCTTTGTTGAAGAGGGTCTGTGCAATCCTTCTGCCTAGTCCGCCATCTTGCCCCGCCTCGTGCTGTGTATATTCTTAACAACAACATTATAAAATGTCAAAAACCAAACCAGCCCTGTGAAGCATGGTTCTATCTGAAACATGTGGGGTTGCCATGAGTTGGAGTTGACTTGATGGCATCTGGTTGGGGGTGGAAGTAGTCTGACATATCAACAAGAATATGCACGTGGTTCAGGGCATGTTTTGAGGTCGTCATTTTGTTCTGGTTCAGTCATTTTTAAAAATTGAACGATCTGGGTCCAATTAGGCCCAAATGAAGTTGAGCTCTATGAAAATGAGCTGGTATGGGAGGACTGGGAGCATTAGACACCAAGCTCTGTCGGACAGACCCTGTGTGTTGTGCCTCAGAAATATAAAAGGAGCATCTCAGCTAACACCTTGAGAGAAAAAGGAGACAGGCATGCATGGTCAGCAGTTTTCTAAAATAAGGAAAAATACTATTGAGTGGCTTACAGCTTAACTTTAAAACATGCCTGTTGGGATTCAGTTTGGTTCAGGGTCAGCACATTAACACAGTTGTTCTATGAGCCCCTGGAGGACCTAAACCCTGGTTGCAACAAACACCTCCTGCATTGAATCAGTTTGGCCTACGAATTATTGCCAGGTTTCTGTTCTGAGGTTACCTGGATCATGTGCTGGGGAGATACCGGAGCTCTCCAAGGCCCTCTGGAGCAAACCCATCCTCCAGGTGCTCATAGTGTTTGAGGACATGAGACAGACAACATGAAACTGTTACATCACAGTGAAAGCAGCCAAATTTAGTCATTTTGGGCCTTCTGTTCTTGTGGAGTTCCTGGGTGGTGCAAAAAGTGCACTCAGCTGCTAACTGGAAGGTTGGAGGTTTGCGTCCATCCAGAAGTACCTCGGAAGAAAGGCCTGGCAGTCTCCTTGTGAGAAGTCAGCCACTGAAAGACCCTGTGGAACATCGTTCTACTTCAAAAGATGTGAGGTTGCTGTGTGTTAGAGTTGATTTTACGCAGGGGTTAATTTTCCGATTCTTATGGCATATTTAAGACTTTACCAAAGACAGGCTGGGAGGCAAGGGAACAGCACGGACAGAGGACTAGAAGTAGAAGAACAGTTAGTGCTTCCTAACCGTTTACTTTGTGGCTTCACATTTTTCACATAGCTTACAGATGAGGGAACCAAGGTTTGAAGGGCTTAGCTGATTTGCCCAAGACCACACAGCTAGAAAACAGCAGAGTTGGATTCAAACACAGGATGCCAGCTCTGCCTGGTGCTGCCTGGGTACAGATTGTTATGGGCTCGTGGACACAGAGAAGGCTGTCTTGGCCAGGCTGGGGAGTCATCTCACCTGGCCTTATGTCTTCTCTTGTCACACCACCTATCTCCTCTTGACTTTAGATTATCTGCTTACTGTTTATTGTCTAACCAGCCAGAGGTAAGTCCATCAGAGCAGGGAATTTTTTTTTTTTTTTTTATCTCTACTGAATTTCCAGGACCTAAGATAGTGCCAGTGAGCCCTGGTGGCTCAGTGGTTAAAAGCTCTTGGCTGCCAGCTGAAAGGTCAGTGGTTCGAACCCACCAGCTGTTTTGCAGGAGAAAGATGTGTCAGGCAGTCTGCTTCTGTTAAAGATTTACAGCTTTGGAAGCTCTGTGGGGCAGTTGCACTCTGTCCTATAGGGTAACTGTGAGTTAGAATTGGCTTGAAGGCAATAGATTTGGTTTGTTCTTGGTTAAGATAGTGCCTGGCATGTAGGGCTCAATATATTTGTGGAATGAATGAATGTATTTTTGGGCATGATGGAAAATAACAAAGTAAGGGTGGGGCTAGACACCCATCACAGTCACCTCTGTTGCTGTTCTCTGGACACATGATGATGCCCTTAGCTGTCTCTCTGCCCTCTTTTGCTTCATTGTTTCTGTGTTGAAATCTGAATCTTCTTCAAGTGTTGGCTCACATGATGGTTTTCAGTCCTCTGCCCCTAAGCTGAATTCTTCTCTGCTTTCTTTTGTACTCCGACAACATCACTAGTGCCCATAGTTTAGAAATGTCACTCTCTCCCTTGCTTCAATTAATTCTGGTTTCTGTGTTTATTATTTTTAATATAAATAATAGTATTTTTGCACATCATTTTTCCTAATAAATATTTTATTGAGTTTTCAATGAAAGTTTACATAGTAAATTATGTTTGCATTCGACAATTTCTATACATGTTGTGCCTTGATATTGGTTGCATTTTCCACATTGTGTCAGCATTCTCCATATTTCCAGTCTGGTTGTCCTATTTCCCTTATTCCAGCTTCCCTGCCCTCCCCCTTCCCCCCTGCCTCACCTTCTCATCTATGCTTTATTGGTAAATGCTGATCCTTTGGTCTCATACAGATTTTTTTTTTTTTTTCAAAGGAGCATTGGGTTCACAGGTGGTGGTATTTATTTTATGAGCCAATCTGTTATTTAGCTGAAAAGTGGCCTCCAGGGATTTGCGTATCATTTTATGGTTTGTTTATTTGAGACTTTCAACAACTTTGTAAAGGAAGATTTCATTATCCTATTTTATTGCATTTTTTTATTTTGTACAGTTAGAGGACTACCTATTTTGTAGCAGTTAGAGGACTTGTTCAGTGCCCTTCAGCCAAGAAGTTGCAGGATCTGGGTGTTTGGGATACAGGGGTCCCTCTGTGACAGTAGGCACCACTTCTAAAGGGCATGCACCTTTGTGTCCCCAGCAAGTGGCAGGCTTGGTAATTTACAGAGGAACAACTTGATATGATACGTATTTGGGTTGGGTTGACTTTATCTTGTCTATGAAGCCATGCTATGCTAGCTGTGGTTTAATAGGATTAGTCAGGTAGCTGTTTGTCAGAGGCATGGAGACAGAGATGGGCTAGAAGCCTGCTGGAGGAATCCAGGCCTAGTCAGGGGTGTTGTTATTGGAAAGGAAGGAATGGATATCTGGAGGCAGAAAAGACAGGGCCTGCTGACCAGTTCTGAGAATTATTGGTTTTCCAAGCGGCTGCTGGGGATGGTGGTGGTGGGTGAGTAGGAAGCTGCTGCAAAGGCTTCTGGGAATTATAGTTGGGGCTCTAACTGTCCTTCTGCTCTTCCTTTCTGTGCTGCCTGCCACCAGAGGGGCCATGGCACCCTGACAGGTACTGGGGGTGGGACTGGTAGTGCATGTATGTTTCTTGGGGATTAATGCAAGATGGGAGTCTGTAACCATAACTTGCCTTCCCCTGCAGTCTGACTTTCCCTTTCCTGTCTCCCTCTGCTCAGTGGTGGTCACACTGGAGCCGTGTGAAGGAGCCGAGACATATGTCAATGGGAAGTTGGTGACTGAGCCACTGGTGCTGAAGTCAGGTAGAAGTGCCTTGTTGTGAGGGTTTGGGGGCATGACTGTATATAGGAAGTCCCTGACAGAGCTCTCTGGGCGAGTCCTAGGTTCAGATCTTAAACTAAATAAGGGGATAGGAAAAAGGAACTGGGAAGTAAAGAGAAAGGAGTTAGGCTCCGGTCTGCTTTGGAGAAACCAGGAAAAAGGAAGTAGGTCTCTCTCGACTCCTTTGGCTGCCGGAGATTGGGGTGGTTTCTGGGGTCAGTCAGGAGAGCACTTGGCTCGGACTCTTCTCAGATATGGGTGATAAGAGAGAGGGTGTCAGGGCCCTGGGACTTGGAGCTAAAGTCCTGTGTGTCTTGGGCGTGGGGATGGGTTTGCTGCTATGGGGGAGCAAGTCCACATTTCCCTCCTCACATCCAGGGAATAGGATTGTGATGGGCAAGAACCACGTTTTCCGCTTCAATCACCCGGAGCAAGCACGGCTGGAGCGGGAACGAGGGGTTCCCCCACCCCCAGGACCACCCTCTGAGCCTGTCGACTGGAACTTTGCCCAGAAGGAGCTGCTGGAGCAGCAAGGCATTGACATCAAGTTGGAGATGGAGAAGAGGTGTGAGGAAGGGTACTCAGACCCCTGACCCTGGTGGGCTGTCCCTTGCAGGCCCCCTGGCCCCCAACCCCTGTGGTCGGTTACCCCATGGAAGTGGCTCCTGAACCCTGCACAGCTCTTCCTCCCCTCCCTACCCCGCCCCAGGCTGCAGGATTTGGAGAATCAGTACCGGAAAGAAAAGGAGGAAGCTGATCTTCTGTTGGAGCAGCAACGACTGGTGAGGGTCTGGGCAGGGCGAGCGGCGGGGCATGCGGGCCAGAGGCTGGGGGTGGGCCGGCCGGAGAGCGGATGAGCAGTGAGCCCGAGCACATCACTCCCACTTTCATTCACCTGCTCTGAGTCAGAGTGGGAAGTGGTGATGGGTATGAGGGTAGATGGTGCTGTCTAGGAGAAACACACAAGAGAATTGTGATCTGGGGTGGAAACCGTTGTGTGGAGGGAGCTAAAGTTCCTCCCAGTTGACCAGGGTTTCCCAGCCCCCACTTGATCTTGTGCCACCTTTTGCCATATCCAAGAACAATTCTAGGGTAGAATGTTCACCTTCCATGTTGGAGGTCCAGGTCCAATTCCTGGCTCATTCATATGCAGCCTCCATCTGTCTGGCAGTGGAGGCTTATGTGCTGTGACAGTGAACAAGTTTCACTGGAGCTTGGTCTGAGATAGACTAGGAAAAAAGGCCAGATGGTCTACCTTGGAAAAATCAGCCATTGAAAACCGCATGAAGCAGTTACCCGTTCGTGCTGTGCCTGGGGTCACTGTGAGCTGGTGCCAGCTCGACAGCAGCCACAGCAGCAAACCATATCCAGGTGTCATTTGCCCTCTTACTTGGTTAAACTTTTTCTTTAAACGTACTTATCTGATTTAGGTGTGGCTGATACGTTTTGCTCACTTTCTTCCAAGCTAGCCACAGTTTTAAGCACTCTGCGTACACTGAGCTTCAGAGTGCTATCTATCTGTGAGGTAGAAACTCTTTATCTCCATTTTTAAGAATCAGCAGAGGTTGAGCAGCCAACCCAAGAGCACACGGTTAGTGTGGGGTGAAGCAGGATTTGAACCCAGGCACTCTGATGGGCTGTCTCTGCTGTCCTTGGGGACCACTGGACTAGGTAGGACTCCTGTCCCTGGGTATCTTAGTCCTCTCCCCTCTCTGCCCCAGTATGCAGATTCAGACAGCGGCGATGACTCCGACAAGCGCTCCTGCGAGGAGAGCTGGCGGCTGATCTCCTCTTTGCGGGAGCAGCTGCCCCCGACCACGGTCCAGACCATCGTCAAGCGCTGTGGCCTGCCCAGCAGTGGCAAGCGCAGGGCCCCCCGCAGGGTGTACCAGATCCCCCAGCGGCGGCGGCTGCAGGGCAAAGACCCCCGCTGGGCCACCATGGCCGACCTGAAGATGCAGGCGGTGAAGGAGATCTGCTACGAGGTGGCCCTGGCTGACTTCCGCCACGGGCGGGCCGAGATCGAGGCCCTGGCGGCCCTCAAGATGCGGGAGCTATGCCGCACCTACGGCAAGCCCGAGGGGCCAGGAGACGCCTGGAGGGCTGTGGCCCGGGATGTCTGGGACACGGTGGGCGAGGAGGAAAGCGGCGGCGGTGGCGGCGGCGGCGGCAGTGGTGGCGGTGAGGAGGGGGCCCGCGGGGCAGAAGTGGAAGACCTCCGCGCGCACATTGACAAGCTGACGGGGATCCTGCAGGAGGTGAAGCTGCAGAACAGCAGCAAGGACCGCGAGCTGCAGGCCCTCAGGGACCGCATGCTCCGCATGGAGAGGGTCATCCCCCTGGCCCAGGTAGGAGGCGCTGCTGGCCCTCACGAGCCCAGAGCCCTCCAGCCCGGGCCTCGGAGCTTCCCCTGGGGAGCCAGAACCCCCCACCTCAGAGTCCAGCCCTCTTCCTTTTTCTTTAAATGAAATGCTATCAACGTACAGTGCGGTTTCTCTCAGTGTAATTTGTGAAACTCTTGCCCCACAATTACTACTAAGGTGCCAATTTAAAAATGCAGATTCCTGGGTTCCACCCCAGACCTGCTGAACCAGAATCTTCTTTATAAGAAGCTATCCAGGTGATTGTGAAGGACAATTTTAGAACCACTGAGAGAAAGCGTATGATTACAGCTCAGTGAGTGTTTACATGGAACACACCCTTTATATGTACCGCTTTCTCCTTTGGGTGACCATTGGCTCTGTGGGAGCCCCTGTGTTGAGCACTTTTTATGTGTGGTCTCATTTAATCCACACAGAAGCTCTGAGTGGTAGCGTAATCACCGGTCCCCATCTTGCATTTATTCACTCAACAGTATTTGAGCGCTTGTGTGCCAGGTGTTAGGCTAGCTACCAAGATTACTGAAACCAATTTCTCCTCTAGTGCAACTGACTTCTAATGGGGAGCCAGTTGGTAAATCATAATACCTCAGGGTTCTCCACTGCTCACCTCTCTGACCTCATCTGCTCCTTTCCCCTTGCTCACTCCACTCCAGCTCCGCTGCCTCCCTTCTCTTCCTTGAACTTGCTCTGCGTGCTCCTGCATCAAGGCCTTTGCACCTGCTGTTCCCTCTGCCCAAAACGCTTTCCCTCCGACACCCACATTGTTTCCTCACTTCCTGCGAGTCTTTGCTGAGATGAAACTTCTCAGTGAATCCCTTTCTGTCCATTCAGTGCAGCCACCCTCATACTGACTTTCCTGATCCCCTTCCCTGCTCTATTTTTCTCTGACTACACATACATAGAGTGTGTGTGTGTGTGTGTGTGTTACCCCCCACACACACACGCACACACGGAGTAAAACCTACAAAAGCTAGAACCTGTGGAATGCAGAAACCTGTCAGAGAAGGAAAAGTCAAATACTTTCTACTAAAGTGAATGTAGAAAAGTGGCAACTCTGCAGTGCACCCTGTCAAAGGCAGAAAACACGCCAGACCTGGAAAAACAAGGCAGTCCCGTTGAGTTCTGGCTTTCACAGTTTTTGTTGTATATACCTGTCTCTCTTTGTGTGTGTGTGTGTGTGTGTGTGTGTGTGTGTGTATAGTGTCATCTGTATGTATACATATCATATGGAAACCCTGGGTGGCACAGATTGTTAAGCACTTGACTACTGGCTGAAAGATTGGTGGTTCAAACCCAGCCAAAAGCATCTCAGAAGAAAGGCCTGGCAATGTGTTTCCAGAAGGTCACAGCCTTGAAAACCCTGTGGAGCAGTTCTACTCTGCATACACAGGGGCACTATGAATCGACCCTATAGCAAGCTAACAACATACATATACACATGTTGTATATATATAATGTACATATACATATATAGGGAGTTCTGGTGGCATGGTGCCTAAGGCATTTGACTGCTAACCAGAAAGCTGATGGTTCAAACCCACCAGCCACTCCTCAGAAGGAAGGTTGGGCAATCTACTTCCATAGTGATACTGCCTCGGAAACCCAAGGAGGGGTTGCTATGAGTCGGAACAACTCCACGGCAGTGAGTTTGGTTTTTTTGGTTTAGGCATGTGTAGTGTATGTATGTATATGTATAAATGTATAACTTGTTGAAATATAATGTGCTATACTGTATGTTTTTCTTATCCATTTGTTTTTCAACTGTCTAACCCCACTAAAACATAAGCTCCATGATAGAAAATACTTTTCTTCTATTTGTTTATTCAGCAAATATTTACTGAGTGCCTACTATGTGCCAGGCACTGTTCTGAGTACTTTATGTGGTTTAAGTCATTTGAGTCTCACAACAGCTCTGTGGAGTAGGTACTATTGTTGTTATCAATGTCATTTTGTAGATGAGGGAGCTGAGCAGTTACAAGCCAGGGATCCAGATCCCACAGCTAGGAAGTAGCAGACCCAAGCTTGAACTCAGCCAGTGCCCCTGAACCTCGACTCGTCTAGCTCCCCTATGGCCTGCCCTTCTCAGGACGCCTCCATGGCCTTCTGACTTCTCCCAGGTCTACAGGTCCTGAGGCCTCAGATCTCCTCACACCACTTCTCCTTTTCTCTCACCCCTTCTGCCTCCCAGGATCACGAGGATGAGAACGAGGAACCTGGCGAGGCCACCTGGGCTGCCCCCGAGGGGTCTGAGGCTGGAGAAGATGCTGCGCCCAGTGACCGAGCCCCCCTGGCCCGGCCCCCCTCACCTCCCTTGTCAAGCTGGGAGCGGGTGTCGCGGCTGATGGAGGAGGACCCCGCCTTCCGACGTGGCCGCCTTCGTTGGCTCAAGCAGGAGCAGCTGCGGCTGCAGGGACTGCAGGGCTCTGGGGGCCGGGGTGGGGGGCTGCGCAGGCCCCCTGCCCGCTTTGTGCCCCCTCACGACTGCAAGCTGCGCTTCCCCTTCAAGAGCAACCCCCAGCACCGGGAGTCCTGGCCGGGGATGGCGGGCGGGGATGCCTCGGCTCCTCCCCAACCCCCAGAAGAGGCCACGCCCCCTCCAGCCACCCCTGCCCGCAGGCCCCCAAGTCCCCGCAGGTCCCACCGCCCCCGCAGGAACTCCCTGGATGGTGGGGGCCGGCCCCGTGGAGGGGGTCCCGGGCAGCCTGAGCCCCAGCACTTCCAACCCAAAAAGCACAACTATTATCCCCAGCAGCCCCAACCATACCCAGCCCAAAGGCCCCCGGGGCCCCGCTATCCCCCATACACTACTCCCCCGCGGATGAGACGGCAGCGCTCAGCCCCTGACCTCAAGGAGAATGGGGCGGCCGTGTGAACCCTGTGTCCTGGGCAGAGGGTCTGGCCAGGCCCGAGCTAGGAGGTGAGAGGATGCCTGAGACACTGCTTCCCCGGCAGACCTGGGGCTGGGAGGCCCGGAAGACAGAAGGTCCGAGTAGGTGATAGAAGACGAGAGGGAGACTAGGCCGGAGGCTGAAGGAGGGAAGAGGGCACGGAGTTGCCAGGAGCAAACCAAAGTGAAGGACGAGAAAGGAAGCTCCCTTGGGGTCACCCCTTGCAGAGGGGGGGGTGTCCCACCAACGCTGCTATGGGTGGGTGGGGGGCTGGGGGGCTGCATAGCCAGTGTTTGACTTTCTTTTCAAGTAGGGGCAAGGGGAAGAGAACCTAGAGTGAGGCAAGTTCTCCCCTGCCCCTGTCTGTCTGTCTGTCTGTGGTGGGTTTCTGTTTCCAGGGAGGTGTGGTGGGATCATAAGTCATTCCCCTCCTCTTCCAGGCCTCTTGCTATGTTTGGAGGACCTGTCTGGTTTGGCTGGAGTCCCATGGTGGTATGGGGCCCTTTAATAAAGGATAGCAAACAGAAGGAGCTTGTGATTCATTGTGTTTGTTTTTGGTATTTAATGGAGGTATAGATTACATACAGTAGGGTGCACAGATCTTCAGTGCACAGCTCAGTGAATGTTTACGTATGTGTACACCTAGCATTACCAAGAGCAAAGTACAGAACATTTCCATCTTCTTGTCTTGAACTTTCACCACCAGATCTCTCTTCAGGGTGCACAGCCGTTCTTCCTTCTTTCACTTTTGCTCACCTAGTGTCTCTGTCTCTCCCCCTGCCATCATTCCCATTGTCCTGCACAAAGAATGGGTAGGGACGAGAGGTGGGGAGAACACAAGCTACTGGTGCCCAGCTAGCTGCACCTGACAAGACCTGGAGGGGTTTGGGGGAAGGTGGGGCTCTGCTTCATGACATCACCAAACCTATGCCATCGAGTCGATTCCAACTCATAGTGACCCCCATTGGGTTTCCAAGGCTGTAAATCCTTACAGAAGCAGACTGCCTCTTCTTTCTTCCACAGAGCAGCTGGTCGGTTCAAACCACTGACCTTTTGGGTAGCAGCCAAATGGCTTAACCATTGTCCCCACCGGAGCTATTTCACCTATTTAAAGATTCTTCCAAATAACCACAATTTCCCCAAAATTTTGTTTTGTGTTAACAGTGAATGTGTTGGTCACACCTCAGTTGCATCTACATGATTATTTTCGTCTTGTCTGTTACCTGCCTTTTGGACAAGTGCATTAAGTAGTCCAAGTAGTAGTTGATTTGTCTTATGACTTTTCAGTAGGGATGCTGCCAGCTTATTTGAATGCTCTGTCTTGGAGGCACAAGCCCATGGCAATGCCACCTTGCAAAGGTTTTGCAAGTTAGCTGGGATCCCTGCTCTGCCTTCACCTTGACAGACTGAGGAATCCCCACATTTTCAGTCTGATCAGTAAAACACTTCCATTTGTGAAGATATGAGCTGTCTGTCTACAGCTTCCCATGTGGTTGTGAGGTACAAGTGGTCAAAAGCATAGACTATCTCAGATGCAGCCAAACTGCAGTTCTGGGCAAAGTGGCATTAGGTCGACTCTTGGTTTCCACACCCTGATGCTGGCTCCCTTTTCCTTGGCACCTTTTTCGCATCTTTTTCTTGGCATCTTTCACTGCCAGGTCTTCAGGGACCTGTCAACAGTGACCAAGATCTGGAATGTAATGGATAGTTTGGTGGCTGTGCACTTGAGTGGTTTATAATCTGGTCAAGGTGATTTAAATGTAAGCAAGAAAATGACAGAAGACAAAGCTGTCTGCAGTTCTGAGCAAGCTGAGTGGTGCAGATAGTGCAGTGTAGTCTCTATGGGAAAGACTGCTTACTGTTTTCAAATATAGTTGAATTGTTTTCCCCTAAAGACTCTGCCTTATTAAGTATGTATCGTTGGTTATTTGTATCCACTTATCCAACCTTCCAAATCTGAAGAATGAAGAAAACCAAAGATGCATGGAAACAATTAGTCCAAAGGACTAGTGGACCATGCAAACCTCAGCCTATATGACCATGAGACAGAAGAACTAGATGGTGCTCAGCTACCACTGTCAACCACTTGGAAAGGGATCAGTGCAGGAGATCCTGGATAGAGTAGGAGAAAAATGTGCAACAAAACTCAAAATCATAAAAGTAAAAAAGACCAGGCTTATTGGTCTAATAGAGACTGGGTGAAACTCCCGGGACTTTGGCCCTGGAATAGAACTCACTCTCATAGCTCCCAGCCAAACAATAACCAGGCACATAAGGTGAAGATTTACATCAGACAGGTATACTCCTTAGAACAAACAATCAACCACAGGAGACCAGAAGGGCAGTATTTGCACAGGGAGACAGCTCAGAGGGCAGGAATGCATGGCAAAGAAGGATGCAGGGAAAAGGTAACCACAGGGAGGAATTGGGAAGACAGCTTTACATTGTGGGGATTGCGATCAATGTCATGAAACAAAATGTGTATGAACTGTTGTATGGAAAATGAATTTGCTCTGTTAACTTTCACCCAAATCACAATTTAAAAAATCCTATGGGCTTTGTTTTTAAGACTGGGGCCTGAGGTAGGTGGGTGTGGGGCTTGGGGGCTGCTGTTCACTTAGGGGTGGCTCATTTTAAGGCCAGGGCCCAAGGTAGGCAGGTGCAGAGAGGTTAGGAACAACTAAGGGAGATGAACTTGTCTGTCCATTTGTCATCCTGTGGTGGCTTCTGCGTTGCTGTGAGGCTAGAGGCTATGCCTCCAGTGTAGCAAAATGCCACCAGGGTTACTCATGGTGGACGGGTTTCAGTAGAGCTTCTGGTCTAAGATAGACTTGGAAGAAGGAAGAGGCCATCCACTTCTCAAACAATTGGCCAGTGAAAACCTTATGAATAGCAGCGAAACACTGTCTATATATTACTGGAAAACTTTATGAATAGCCCTGAAACATTATCCGATGTAGTGCTGGAAGATGAGCCCATTAGTTTGGGAGGCACTCAAAATTTGGGGAAGAGCTGATGCCTCAGAGTAGAAATGACCTTAATGATATGGACAGAGTAAAGCTTTTGGGACCTTCATTGACTGATGTGGCATGACTCAAAATGAGTAGAAACACATGCAAACACCCATTAATAATTGGAACATGGAATGTACAAAGCATGAATCTAGAAAAATTGAAAATTGTCAAAAATGAAATGGAACGCATAAAAATCGATATCCTAGGCATTAGTGAGCTGAAATGGACTGGTTTTGGCCATTTTGAATCAGACAACCATATGATCTATTACATTGGGAATGACAAATTGAAGAGGAATGGTGTGGCATTCTTCATCACAAAGAGTGTTTCAACATCTGTCCTGAAGTACAAAGCCATCAGTGATAGGATAATATCCATGCATCTACAAGAAAGACCAGTTAATACTACTATTATTCAAATTTATGCACTAGCCACCTAAGCCAAAGATGAAGAAATTGAAGATTTCTACCAACTAATGCAGTCTGAAACTGACATAACATGCAATCAAGATGTGTTAATTATCACTGGTGACTGGAATGCAAAAGTTGGAAACAAGAGTTACCAGTAGTTGGAAAATATGGCCTTGGTGATAGAAATAACACTGGAGATTGCATTATAGACTTTTGCAAGGCCAACAACTTATTCATTGCAAATACCTTTTTTCAACAACACAGATGGTGGCTTATACATGTGGACTTTGCCAGGTGGAGTGCACAGGAATCAGATTGACTACATTGGTGGCAAGAGGTGATAGAGAAGTTCAATATCTGCAGCCAAAACAAGGCCAGGAGCTGATTGTGGAACAGGCCATCAACTGCTCATATACACATTCAAGTTGAAGTTGAAGACAATTAAAACAAGTCTGCAAGAGCCAAAATATGACCTTGATGATATCCCTCCTGAATTTAGAGACCATTTAAAGAAAAGATTTGATGCACTGAACACCAGTGACCAAAAACCAGAGGAATTATGGGATGACATCAAGAACATCATCCATGAAGAAAGCAAGAGGTAACTAAAAAGACAAGAAAGGAAGAATAGACCAAAATAGATGTCAGAAGAGACTCTGAAACTTGCCCTTGAGTGGAGAGTAGCTAAAGGAAATGGAAGAAATGACAAGATAAAAGAGCTGAACAGAAGATTTCAAAGAGCAGCTTGAGCAAAGCCAATTATTATAATGAAAT